CTGTGTCGAAATACATCTTACAATCAAGGTGCTTCAAAAGGGGACAGCTCATCGCTGTGTGAAAGAGAGAATATGATCAAAGTAAACGGAGTCAACCAAATAAGTCCACTCAGGCTGTAACATGAAGCTCTCAAAGTATGAGCCAATCATAAGAGAGTTGGGCGCACACGGTTCGACCTCTCAACAAACAGCGGCACGCGTGCGTGTATATTGCATGCATGTGTGTGTGTGTGTGTGTGTGCATGAACAGGTGACCCCCAAGGAACCATCAAAACAGGTCACGTGCGTAGTTGGTTAAATATTCGATAAATAATAAGCGGTGAACCGGGAAAGAACAAGGCCAGGCGGAACGTAGGTTAATCAATAGTAAGGGACAATGGAGGTCACAAGAGAACCGGTGTGGTGGAAGTCATACGGGTGAGCGGTGTGCGTGTGTCCGCATGTCCATTAGCGTTTCAGAGATTGGGAGAACTAAGCACTCGATTGATTATGTAAGAAATCGATAATCAGAATGAAACGAATGTCAACGGGACAAATAGGAAGTGACAGAGTAGGCAATGAAACGAAAAAACACAAGTGATTCTGAGGAAAGAATCAACAATCGGATTGTTGCCATGCAGCAGATAATGCCACTGAATTGTTACCCCTTTCATGCCTTTAAATATGAGACTGAAGTGCGAAAATGTAATCTGTAAAACTGACATACTTCGGTCATACTTATCCAGTTCCTTTTCAACCTTTCTAATCCAAGGTCTTATCTCAAGCGGTGGGAGTGGTGACTACAATGGTGCCCACCAATGCGGATTCAGCTCTCCTCTCGGTCACAGCGATTCAGTCAGTCCTAGAGATCGGCACGGATGTGGATCGAAAATCGCAAGTGCTTCTTTCGAAAGCGATGTCTGATATGAGTGATGGATTGAAAGATCTGTTGTCAGCTGAAAACTCAGAGAAGCAGCGGGATGTAGCTGACCAAGTCCTGCATACGGTGGTCAACTTGATGCAGGTAACTACTGCTATTCATCAAATGCCCTTCTAACTCTTTGTGGGATAAGTTTGATTTGCAGGATACGAAATTATTCCCGATGGATTAGTTACGAGAACATGAGTTATCGAAAAATGACTATGAGTCATTTGATTGTAAAACCTGCCTTGAGAAACGTTAGTCATGGTAACTGAAACGTCGGTGAATATAATTCTCATCGCTGTATTAATAACATTATAACATTCATCATAACAACATGGCGTATCGATTTTTCGATACGCTCCTAACATCATTTGCTTCATCTTGCCCTACATAGTCTTATTTTCGTATTAAGATATAATCTACAGTTATCTACCTTGCAAATCCTTTGAGGTTAGATAATCTTTATGTATCAAAATTAATTCACATTGTCATGATGAGATTTCTCATTTCTGGGGCTGGGTTCAGTGGCTCACCATTAATCAAACTAATGCTGGAGCAGCTAAACTTCTCCATAGTGATCAGTAGATGTTTTCATTGGCCTTAATCCGTCGCTACACTTTGTCAGGGTTAGATTTCTTGTGTCCAACACATTACCTGCGCATGCACCGTTACAAATATTGAATGAACTCGTGCAAAATGACCCTCAATTCAGAAATGTATTTCACTTTTCAACGTCATATTGTTAAATCGATATCCACAGGGAACCAGCATTTATTCCAAACGTTTTGTCACTTCAGTGTTCTCAATTCTTTTATATCACCTTCCGAATTGGTCTGGTCTTGAGTGGTGCGATGGACTTTGTATTAGTGAGAAAGTTTCAGCTAAAAATTAAAAAATATATTTGGTGCTGAGAGGCAAAAAGGTTTACTCTTTATAATAAATGATTGTGGTTTCACATGAGTGTTTATATTGGTCAATCTAATTCTTCCTAATAGGATGTCTTTTGCCCTGCAATATACAGTGAATATACAAAAAATAATCTTTTGTGACGACAGAAATGTTTGTGATAACCAACAAAGAGCACTAGACAGCTGTTTCGTCCTGTTTGGGACTCGTCAGTAGTGCCTACATTTTGTGTCCCTGTCAGGACTCGAACCGCGAACGTTCGGGGTGGGACTTCAAACCCTTAACCCTGAGCTACACGGCCGACGGTCATCACCCTGTGCGAATGGTTCAATCACTTTTAAAGTATCAAGCTTGGATTAGCCCATTCGTTTGTTAGGAGGCACCAGGCACTCTTGATGTTCTTGGGTGTCGGTTTCACTCCTTGGGAGATCGTTAATTCCCACAATCTCATGCATCTCTACATGTGATAGAAATGCGATAACCGAAAAAGAGCACTGGACAGCTGTTTCGTCCTTGTAAATGCACGAGACTATGGGGAATTAACGATCTCCCAAGGAATAAAACCGACACCCAAGAACATCAAGAGTACCTGGTGCCTCTTAACAAACGATTGGACTAACCCAAGCTTGTTACTCTAAAACTGATCTTTTGTTGTTACATTACTTGTTTGTTATTACATTACTTTTCAACAAACTGCTCACGTGAAGGGAGTAAAATATATTGCAACAGATGTGATAAGTGACCTTGAAAGGTGTGCGGCCCGCTGAGTAATCGTTTCGTAATATCACCATACCCAACTTGAATGCAACGTTCACACATTTTCGGCATACAACGGTAGCGGTAGCAAGATGCCGAAACCCGGCCTCTCTCAAGACTCACGTGTCCAGATGATCCGATGCAAAAGTTAGCAGAGTTCACCGCACAATGAAGGAACTTTCTTCAGGAACATAGTAATGGGGAGGGAGAAAACCGATCATGTCGAAACAAGACAATAATTAAAGTCTTAGAATCGGCAATTTCAAAAGTCGAATTAGTTTAGTTACTAGCTGAAGTCTTATTGTAATCAGAAATGTTTTCCCTGAGTTAAAGATAAATAAGTTAGCTACCTCTTTAGAGACCAGAATATGGTTAATACCGGTGAAGCGTGACCAATAAGATTTGATTGTCTTGTTGGTCGACTTCAAAGCAAAACGATTAGTCAATTGCTTGTGTTGACAACATGGGATTACAACACCTATATCACGCCTATAAGTTATTTTATTAATCAAATCCAATGATTTTTTCTAATAACCTTTGGTTATCTTATGACTGATGCCCCATCAACCTTCGTCAAAAACAAAAATCGTAATTTTACAAGGCATTTGACTGCTAGAAGTAATAACATAAACTGATACAGATACGCTGTGTCGTGTAGTGTAATACCTTGTTCGTTCGCGTGAACGTGGTTTAAAACGCTAACCACTGAAAGGAAGATATCTAACGATTGTCAGAATGTCGCTCTAGTTCAATCAATACTTGTACACCTGGTCAAAGTCCACATACGACTAAATCTCTGAAGCATGTTAAAGGATCTGTTGAGTTGCAGCAAATAGCGTGATGGAATCCGCAGTTGGCTGACCCATTAGTCGTTCGTAATCACGGAGTGGCACACATGATCCAGTCAACCAGTCCCGTTCTTTTCTGCAGCGAAAGCCGATAAGCTAGACTGAATAGACGCGTTCACTGGCCAAGTGAACCGACACATTATCTCACGACTGTGTGATCAACCTCTTCCACTTTTGCTGTCGTCGAACGAATGGTGCCGAAGTTATTTGATTAGTGATTGCAATAGCGGCAACATCTACTTCGTTTTGATGTTATTTTTATCTATAAGACCGCAGTTTTGTCCAAAATTAAACGGTCATCTTTGGAATTGAACATTGAAGTCCCCTTTTTGACTGATCCGCTGGGTGATGGTAGGGATAAATTGTCAAGGATTTTGGGGCCTAGCAAGGAGATATATAAAAATCTGCGTCTTTCAGTACGCAAGTAACGACAATATTACCGAAGTGATAGATCCTGACGAACCTGCAGTTGATAACTGGCAGGCCGATTGATCGGAAGGCAAATGACAATACCCATTTTTTTGTTCACAAATTTCCTCAAATAGCCACATTTGTGAGGCAGTTTCCAGTTTGTTGACATTACAACATGAAGTCTGATGCTCGGGCATGCTTGAACAGATTTTGAATGTAATCTGGTGAACCTATTCTCACGGAAGATCAAAGATCAGCAACATACAGGGAAGGAATCTGCGTTCTCAAAATGTGAGTATAGGTATTGTGGCTCTCGAAATGAACGGTAAGAAGAACTAAAACATACGTTAAGTATTTCAGGGTGACAGATTTAAATTGTCCTTTGAGGCCATTAGCATTGCGTATAGAGTTGGGTTTCACTCCTTCGGAGTTCTTCGATTCTCGAAAACAAAATCAACCGGTGTGCTGCTGAGAGGGTGCGGATGATTCGAATTGGGCATACAGACGACCAAGTTCAAGCATGCTGAAAAAGCTCCACATACTTGGTTGATAGACACTTTGGGCAATATGCCTACCAGCAATCATGCTTTTCGTCAATTTTGCTTAGGACAAAGTGAATGGCGAACCATAATGGGCGCTGGTGGCCCGCTGATAACCTCATTAAATTATCACCCAGCGGGGATGTGTGTTCAAATCCCACCACCAACACCAACACTGCCTGACTGTCCCCATCGTGTGTGTGTGTTGAATGGCAGCCTCTTTTGATTCGCCGCTTCCCCCTTCCTGAAAATTTCATCTTGGTGTATATACAATGAAAAGAAGTAAAATGAAAAGATTAAAAACGAAATGGATTAAGGTAGAACAACAATCACTGCTTCACAGGTGATCCCACATTGATTAATTAATTCAAAAAGCCAGTATTTCACCGAGTTCGTTTTCGCAAGACACTTCTCAAAGATTCCTTTTCGGAAGGCAACTGCAGCGATGCCAGCGTTTATTGAAGATATAAAAATGCGGCACGGAATAAAAGAAGTGTTATATTTATAGGGTTGAGCATAGTCTTTATTTCTCTAGAAAGGGAAAGCACCAACAAAACAAACCAACTAATCATATTGAAGTATTCTATCCACTACCTTGGTTTTCACCAATCCAAAACGATCGGGGAAGCACTGGCAATTTCTTATTGCAGTGATTGATACAAATTCATGCTTCGTTGATTGTGCCGGAATTTTCAGAAAAAATTAGACATTCATTGATAACTTTATTGATCCTCCATTCAAACCTTTGATCAATTTCAACAACACCTGCGTTCTGTCATATTATTATTATTATTTTGATTGTCTGAAATCCTAATCAAGTCATAACCACTTGGAACAACATGCGGTAAATCTTTCCGTTACATGGCGCCGCAGTCCCAAACAGTTTTAAAGTAGACTTCAACTCCCAACCACCTTGTGAGCATTAATTTCTAACACCATTGCTGTTCTTGTTCCCACGAATATCATTCCCTTTCGTAGACTATGAATAGTCAAATAAATGACGCAGTTCCAAAGGACGTTGTGCATGATAAAACAAAGCTGAACTATGACGTTGATCTGGAAAGCGAAGGTAAGTTGTGACGCTATAAAAAAAGGATAGCCTAAAGTGTACATTGGTGCGTGAATGCTACCTTTGGATGAACAGAGAGAGAAAGAGATAGGGTGGCGAGGAACGCTATGATTTCATCAGATCAATTATCCGCCTCGGTTCGCGCTTCAAAACAGTGACGACCACCGTTCCGACGTTTATAATTTCTGTGTTCTCATCTAGTCATTCAATACAGAAACAAAAGTGGTAAATAATCCAAAAAACGTGGCTGATTGATTTATGTGTACTACAATAATCCAAATGCTACTCTAATTGACTTTGTTCTCGGGGCACAGAGGAATTCGGATAGGGCAATTTAGCGTCCATCATTGGCACATCATTGTAACCTTAGATATTTGATTCAGGCAGTTAGTTTCGCATCAATGTTAAAGTCAGTTTTAATGTCTGACAAGTGCTGGGCATCCTTTGAGATTATTAAATCAAAAGGATAATTTAGCACACAAGTCCCAGGAAGTGGATGGTAAACTGTGAAATAGTTAATGAACAAAACCAGCCAAAAGCTATTTCAAATTCCATGAAAATATATCTTTTGAGCAAACAAACTAAGGATTGAATTAGTACATAATGCTTATGCGTGATTCATCATCATTTGCATCCCAACTAGTCATTCTGAAATAAATCAACCTCGAAAAATCAATATTATGATTTTATGACGGTTATTGTTTGTTACTCTCCACTGGGTTTAGCAGACTCGAAATCGAGGATTGATTTTGGTGGTTTTATGATAAAAAAATAACAAATATTTGACAGGGCTTTTGAAATCGCCGAGTCTTTTGCTTGGCATTAGAAATATTGTTTTCTGCAAAACCAAAGTTTTAATTATATTATATCGATTGCCCTAAGATAAGTTTACTCTTTGTAGAATATTTACAGAAAAGCATGGAACTGCTTGGAAACATTTTTCCTCCCAAAGTTTGAAAGGCAATGTACGAAGAACAAGTATTTCGAAATACTGTTGCAAAAACACCCATATAACATCGTGCAGCCTGAGAAAAGGCGCGCAGCAACAACAGCACTCGTCGAAAATGTCTTTACCTACCGTCAGCAACACTCGATCGCATTTTGAAAAACCAAACAATTTGGCCAGTCTCATAAGTTGACGCGAAATCTCGAAACCAAATATTATTCGCTTACAATATAAGTGACTTTACACCGACAGCGATGATGAGGGAACCATCGAAGTTGGAGGTGTCACACTGCTTCCGAGCTCATGGCCCCAAGTCCCACATCAGGCAACTGGTGATGATTTCATCACTACCTTCAAAGATTAGTGATACAAAGGGGTCGGATCACTTTGGTTTTATTTAAATCAATGTTTCTGTACATGTGTTGAAACCAAAATATGGTAGAAATAACTGCCGTTTGTTTTCTTTTTATTTAGATGTTCTCATTCTTGTCAAAAGTCATTGCAGAGCTTTTCGTTTTTATTCGATTCCTTCTCCGTGTCAAGCACGACCCATACAGTCTAAATGCCATATATTGTGAGTGAAGATTTTAACCACTTTCATACTTCTCTGCTCTCCTGTTTTGGACTGCGAAAAATTGTTATACTATCCCCACAGGACAAAGGCTTCATCTAGATTTACGATTTTAAAGTTCCCCAAGTAATTTGTGCTCTCTTGGCGTGTTCAATGGAATGATCAAGCTGCTTTCATTGCATATAATTTTCTCGATAATGAATACCCAAACGACCATCTTCCAATAACGTCTCTCATCAGATGATGATTTCACATATTGTGAAACAGAACATGACTGAAAGGGCGTACAAATTCACTTTATGGTACAAAAGACATGGAGAGCAAACGGGAATACATCTAAAAGAATATTCATTGACTGCATGATTGTCAACCGCCTTGATTGGTTGATACTCCCGGCCAATCACCTGAGTTCGGTTGCCTTCATTCTGACTGGTTTTTCCCGAAAAAGCATTGCTCAGGAAGCATGCTGACTCACTGACACAAACAGTCACCCGTCATCTATAAAAAATCCACTACTTCTTTACACGAAGTTGGGACCAAGAAATCCATAAACAACGATAATATCTTGTTCATGTCACCCACATAAAAATAACGGTTTCCGAAACCAATTTTAGTATTTTTCATTATGCCAATTGTTTTCTATTTGTGAACCTTTGAAGAATTATTCAAACGTGTACTTTAGTATGTGTTGTCCGTGGGAATCGCTACACACAGTCGATTTCAAATAATTGTAATTTATTTTATTTTTCGAACAGGACTCAGTTGCACTGGTGACGACGTTTGGGATGAGTTATCGTTGAAAAATGCGGCCACCGATCAGTCAAGTACAGTGAGTCAAATGAAAATTTAAGAATTATTGATAAGTGAATCATTTTATTGGAAAATATATGTATTCAAAGTTTCAACGAATTATTTAAGTGCAATCGACTTTTTGATTTGAAAAAACGTGTTTCGAGATGCCCCTTAAACACTGATTTTGATCTCACTCCGACAAACGTTATCATCGAAACGATATTTTTGACTACCAAAACTCAATTGGTATTGAAGTTTATCTACTGTTTCATAACCTCGAATTATTTACTAGAAACGATACTTCCTAAATTGAAATATGATCTGCATCACCCTGCCTATGTGTGTCCTAAGAAAAGGACAGTTGGGATGTGAAGTGAATTCCCTAGATTTAACCAATCTTGTGTAAAACACTGATTAACCACAGGTTTCTCTCACGCTTTTGGTAAATGGTCTGTCAGCCAGCAGTTTTGACTGACTGTCAAACTGATTTTCAGTGTGAGATCGCTACACCGCTACACCCTGTAGCATGAGCCACATGCAACTGGATTGAGTTCCTATTCTCATTAGAACCTGTAGCTTGCCCCGGATAATCACGGAAAGGTTACTATTTGGCAGACTTAGTCCGGAATTGGTTCATTTCACAATTCACTGGTTTGTTTAGTTAAATATTCCTTTCCGTTCTGACGGAGAGGCCAGTCGATACAAACCTGCATTGGACATTGATATGCGTAGAAACAGAACGATGACAAGGCTGAAGTATGTGCATTCGGTTCACTATGATCGATGACGATTTTAATGTGGATTCTATCACATCAAAGGGCATACTTATCGATTCAAACGAAATTATGCAAGACACGATCGTTGATATGTTGAATTCACTCACTCAAAATGCTGCTTTGAAGAAAAGTTCTGTTATTGAAAATAATCGAAAATGTTCGTGTGTTGGTTGTCCGAGATACATAGTGAATTCTTATCAATGTTCTCAGCCACATGAAGTTCGCGGTGCGATATATTCATTTCTTCGGGTGCACCGAAGGAGTTACTGAAAATTTGTGTCTCATTTTTTACTAAATCGTTAATTACAGAAAGACGAGGGTCGGGACTGCTCCTTCCACTATTCTACTAGTGATATTGTCGTTATTCTAGAATCAGTTCCATTGATCTCAACGCGAGGGATTCGATTCGTTTGAGAAAGTGGGATACAGGTTCGAAGCTAAACCAATGGATGCTCCTTGAGAGATGATATAGTTCTACGTGCAGAAAAGACCACTAGAATTTTCAAACTACAAACGATTAATTTTCTTCATTTACTTAATGAACAGTACCCTGTTAACGAAAAAATCATTCGTGTGCAAGTTAAAAAATTTAATGTCTGTTCAAGTGCTAGGACTATCTCAGTAACTGTTTCTCCAGAGCTCATGAGTGTTGATGAGTTCCGTTAGCCTGGCGTGAAAGTTGTGTAAACCAAGTAAACACTAGAAGCATTAATACACACGAGGTTGAACATTAGTGGTGTATTTGCAGTGACCATCATACGGGAGTTCAATGGCGGTCTCAAACAGGTGAGCTGCCTCCGCTTGTCAAATTATTCTAATAACTTGCCGTAAAACACTTGGATGGCCTTCGATTTTGAGGTAATCTCAAGTAAGCGTATTACTGGTTATCCATCACAAAAGGTGGGTGTATAAGCTAGTCAACATTAAACCGAGCAGTGTTTTCCGTCGTTGGGTAGATATACCATTCGATACCAGTGTTTATTGGAAGGAGCTGTTTGCTCTTGGGGAATTTCATCGGTAAAATCGTTCGTAACCTGGACAAAGGGTTTGCTCTGACAAAATGAGCACCAGTTGAGACTGCGCTCCAGCGAGTGCTACAGGTACTTATTGCAGATACAGCAGTACTCATTTGAAAGCGATGCACCGATCCAGCAGACGAGAAAAACTTGTTGGAAGCAATAAAATGTTCGCTCTGTTGCGTATCGCTTTTATTTGTTCAGCAATGGTTTCCCTCATCATCAGAGTTTTATTTCCTCTTCCCTGTTTTAACTGATAACCAATAACCTAAAAAGATTGCAGCAAGTTCATCTACGTTCGGATCTGTTTTAAGTACTCGAATGAATGTCCTCGGCCCTATGTTAACTCTGGACGGATCACAAATGATCACGAACACGGAGACCACAACGATTGGCATGGCGAAAATGACTGCGAGCAATTTGACAGATTACTCGATGCCATCAAGTGATCAGGGCTCGTCCATCGTTGTACCCGAGCTATGTGGAACGCTGGTTTCAAAGCAGATTTCGTGCGATTCATCAATAACACTGCAGGTTAGTCACGCGCTGACTCATTTCAATCCGAGCTGCTTACTCTCTCACAGCATCTGTCCGTAAAATCAGTGTTTTGATATCAACTCGGTCTCGTTACTCAACCGTATATATAGCGTAAAATAACGTAAACTTTAAAGTTGCGTTCATTTTGGTTAAACTTGTGCGCACCACACATGAAAAAAATGAACAGAAGCACGTAAAGTAAAGTAAAGTAAAGCTTTATGCACCCAATAGGATTAATTTTCACCACTTTCGACAAGTTACAGTGAGAAAAACGTTAAGCATTGGAGAAAAAAGAATACACATTTACTAAATGAAAAACAAATGGACAAGATAAAATCCTAACGTCAGAGATGAGTATTCAAGTCACTAATAATACTGGCTCGGTTGGCCAAGATCCGGGCAAAATAAGGGATTTTGCTGTTTTTATATATGGTGGTGCGTGCACAAAGGATCCGAAATTTGGAACGCTTACTCGGAGGAGGCACCGAT